CGACGACGACAACTATTATTATTACTACTCACCACTACTACTACTACTACTACTACTACTACTACTACTACTACTAATACTAACACTAATACTGCTACTCTACTACTACTGCTGCTGCTGCTACTACTACTACTACTACTACTACTACTACCACGACTACTACTATTACTGCTACTACTAGTGCTGCTGCTGCTGCTACTGCTACTGCTACGACGACGAGGACGACGCCGACTACTACCACTACCACGACTGCTGCTACTGCCACTGCTGACTGCGACTAAAGATAATGATATTTGTTCTGTTACGGCTGAGAGCAAAGATGAATAGGAATGGCAATAACATTATCAATGACAATAGCTATAGCCATCACAATCGAAGCATTAACAGTAGCAATTACACTGACAGTGATGATTGTATCCATAATCATGGCAGTAGCACTACAAAGGATGACTATGGTGATAACAGCAATCGTACTGATGAGCAATGTTGTCAATGCATTTGGTGTTGGTTTCCGGCCTCAGGGTGTCGGGCTCTTAATACGGGGGCCTTCATAGTTAGAATAGGGTTTGGGGTAGATTACACCGTAAATATAATAAGCAACCCCAATGACCTATTCCAATTATTAAGGCCCCTACATTACATCAACCAGGTATGGGAGATCCACACTCGACGCCCTGGTTCTGAGCCCATGGAGGACTCCCGCTTAGAGTTTTAAGTGACTTCGGAAGCCTTAGTTAGATTTCACAAGCCGCAGGTTGTCGAGGGATTGGCTTCTTCGGTTTTCGGGGATTTAAGGCTTGCTAAGGAGAGTTTTCAGGTGCTTGTCCGAAGCAAACCAGGAAACCCATTGTTCAAGGAGTGAGCTGAAAGAGAACAGCTCTTCAAGTCCCAGCCACTCAAGCACCTGCAGCGCCCTTCGTGTCGAGAAATTACAAAAATTGAAAGAACAGTTGATGCATAGCAACGATTCGAACACGAAGCACATCGACTTCATCCCTCAATCCGCAGCACTCAGGAGCTGTTAAGTCCTCTAAAGCAGCCCGAACGTCCCCACTCTCCAACGATCCCTGAAGAAAGCTTCTTCAGGAAAGCCTCAGCAAGTTTCGTGTGTGAACAGCTCTGAAACCCTCGGTCCTGCTTGTGGACATTCCAAGCCGCAGTCCGTCACCAAGCCCCTGGGAATCCACTGCCGTTGGGGCGGCTGGGCGGCAGAGGGAGGATGCCTTGTTCTAGGCTCAGGGCTTGCAGGGGCGTTGCGGTTTGTGTGTAGCATTGATGATTGACTGGCCCTGCGGCTTCTCGGGGTAAGTCTTCGACAGGACAGTAGAGTATCACTTACCGGTGATCGTGCGCAAGAATGTCCATGATCCACGGCAGTTAGTAGGGTAGCACTTGCAACTGCACTGCAGATAGTCATGAGGTTGAGTACCTTCATCACATTCCAGCACTCGAACAGTGCTTAATAGGTCTTCCATCGGAGTAGTAGAAATAGTTGCAAGAGCAACAGCAGCATGACTGCATGACTTGCCTACCGAGGTGCGATACTCTGAATACTGCTCGTCCTCATGGCTTTATGAGACACCTTGTGCTCGTCACCCGAAGCCTGAATCCTGAAATCAGGCAGAGTCACCGCGGAGCCAGACATCGGAGCAGCATGCCAACCGCACGACCTGCGAGGACTCGTCCGGTTTGACCTGCCTAAAGCATCGGAGATTGAGGGGTAAGGACTTGAGTTTATGTTAGGGTTGAGTGCAGGGTTGGGACTTCAGGATTTGGAGTTACATTCAGGATTTGGGATTAACGGTTTCTTGCCTAATAATCTAATATTTTGAGAAGTAGGGCTACGTGCTTGCCCCTAGTGTTCTGGCTACGACCCCACACACACACACACATACACCCACTTGCTTCGTACAAGTCCCAATACCACGCCAGAAGCTTAGAACTGCTATTTAGCTGTTTGTGTTTGGGCTGTTGGTGTTGCTGTTGATGTTGTGGATTATGGCGCCGCCGCTGCTGGTGCTGCTGTTGTTCTTGATGTTGCTGTTGCTGCTGCTGTTGCTCCTGCTGCTGCTGTTTCTTTTGCTGCTGCTGTTGCTTTTGCTGGTGGTGGTGGTGGTGGTGGTGGTGGTGCTGCTGCTGCTGCTGCTGCTGCTGCTGCTGCTGCTGCTGGCGTCTTTGTTGCCTCACGTGCACGAGTAGTCGTTCTCTGCACTCGTAGAGACCTTCTTCTTAACATTACGACTACGATGCTCCTCGTGATAATACCCTTAGCCCCTCAAGCCAAAGTCTATAGAACACCCCAAAGCGGAAATTACATGGTGGACTACATGCGCATCTCTGTGATGCGTTGAACATCAGCACCACATCACAGCCCGCTTGATCCAACCTCCCAGTTGAAAAGCTCTGTTGACTCTCTCATAATAGTGCCTTTAGCGCCCATGCTGCAAGCCCAAAATTCAAAACCTTAAGCCTTGAGGCTTTCGCAGAGCCGTGAGGCGAAACAGTAAGCAATCTAGTCTGAGGACTCGAAAAGCTCGCTTCACTTCTGCCCGCCTCCCTCTTCACGTCAACGTCGACTGCATCTTGGCAGGGATTTGCCTCATGGAAGCTCTCCAAATGAAAGACCTATTTCTTATCTACTGGTATCTGGAGCTAGGCATACCTTGCTTATCGTTTGGCACCTCTTGCCCAAGCCATGACAGGAGCATCAACGACTCCCTGAACCCACCCGAAACCCCAAAATTCCTCAAGTCAGCAATCCTGGAGCCCCAAGTCCCAAAAAGCCTTGGACCTCTGAGACCCCAAATCCCAGTATCTCCAGCAACGCGCCAAAACCCTGAATGCGCCAACCCCGAAGATGCTCGGAGATCCTTCAATAGAAGCCTGCTGCAACAAAGCCCTAAACCCTGAACATCATAAACCCTGAACCCCGAACCTAAAACCCCAATCCATTAACTGAACAAAGCCCTCCTAGGCCCAAGCTGCGGAGCTCCTGCGGGAGGCCAAGGCACAGCGCATTCTGCTGAAGGTGGGTGGGCCGATGAAGGCCTGGAGTGGGTCTCAAGGGTCTGGGTTTAGGGTTTAGGGTTTAGGGTTTAGGGTTTAGGGTTTAGGGTTTAGGGTTTAGGGTTTAGGGTTTAGGGTCGAGGGTTTGGGGTTTAGGATGAGGGTTCAGGGTGTAGCCCTTTGCAACGG